TCCTACCCCCAAATATAATCCACTCTGCAACCCTCATTGCGTACTCCTACGATAAAAATAATGCCCTAAAATAGAATACTTTTAGACTATTCTCTCCCCCATAGACTTCAGTGCCGTAAACATATTTCATCCAGTTTTTCTCAGTCTTACCCCCACCCCAATGCCAGCCTCATTCTACAACAGTAGTGTTTTATAAAATTACTTACTAATAAACTGTGCCTAACATAACCCCATCTTTTCAGGCCCCTCTAGACTTTTCCCAATTCCTATATCCACTCCCTCCACTTAACAAATTGTGTCACCCTCTGATGTTCCCCCTGCTCACCCTCACCCCTCTGGTTTCATCTCTTCCCTCCTTAGACCCCTATATACATTTTATTAGTTATCCTTCTATTTGTCTTATGTAGAACTTGCCCTTATGAGACTAAGTTAATTTACTAAGCATAATGATCTCCAGTTTCTCCAAGTCATGCAATATTTTCTAAAATCATTGCTCCTGAGTGCTGCATAGTATTTCATCATGTAAATTTCCGGCAATTTTTCAATCGATTTAATCATGGTTGGACAACTGGACTGTTTTCATGTTATTACAATGGTGAATAACGCTGCTATGAACATTTGGTATCAAAATTACCATTTGTGTCTCAATTCTACTTTCCTTGGAATATACTCCTAGTAGTGGAATAGCTGGATCATATGGAGTTTCTATGTTCAGTATTTTGAGGAAACACAAAACTATTTTCCAGATGGTTTTACCATTTTAAAATCCCACCAACAGTGTATAAGACTTCAATCTCTCCACAACCTCTCCAACATTTATTGCTTGCTGTCTTGTTAAACTTTGCCATGGTTACTGGGGTGGGATGTATCTTATTGTGGTTTTAATTTGCATCTCTCTTGTTGTCAATGATTTTGAGTATTTCTTCATGTGTCTACTAGCCATCTGAATGTCTTCCTCTGTGAAATGTCTTCCATATGTTTTTCCCATTTTGTAATAAGCTTATAAGTCTTTTTTTGTGGATGCCTTATTGTTGTTGTTGTTGTTGTTATATGCCATCGAGTCGTCCATGACTCATAGTGCTATGTACAGTTGCCCCAAACTCTGCTCTATCCTGTGCCAATCTTCTTTTCTTTGACACACCTATCTCTATTACCCCACTCACTGAATCAATCCATCTCATTGAGGGTCTTCTACTTTTGTTCTGTCCCTCTTCCCTCCCAAGCATAACGTTCCTCTCCAAAGACTGGCCCTTCCATGAAATATGACCAAAGTATGTCAGACAAAGCCTCAGAATCCTCGCCTTGAAGGAAGAGCTTGGTCTCACTCTCTCAGGAATGAACCTGTTTGTTCTCCTAGCAGTCCATGGTATATCCAATACTCTTCTCCAGCACCACAGCTGAAAGGCATCAATTCTCCTTCTATCATCCCTAGTCATTGTCCAGCTTTCTGATGCATAGCAAGTGATTGCAAAGACCATGGCTGTATCAGGTGCATCTTAGTCTCCAGACTGACATTGTTGCTCTTAAGAAGGCCCTGTAGGATTCTGTAAACTTTTGTTAAGAGATCCTTGTCTGAGATGGTATTGCCAATTTTTATTCCCCAGTCAGTAAGTTTTCTTCCACCCTACTGGAAGAAAAGGTTTTAATGCACACAGGGAATTTACTCTTTAGAAGGCTCCATTCATCAATTTTATCTTCTCCTGGATATGCATTTCTGGCTGTATTTGTCAGCCCCTTTGTACCAAAAACTAGACCTTCTAAGCTTGGTCCTGTATTGTCTCTTATGATCTTTATGGTTTGGGGCTTTACCCTTAGGTCTTTAATTCACCTTGAGTTGACTTTTGTGTATGGTGGCATATGTGAAACCTGCTTCAGCTACGTGCAGGTTAGTTTTTCCTGTTTCTTTTGTTGAAGAAGTTGTCATTTCCCCATTTGATAAGTTTTGTTTCCTTGCCAAATATCAGTTGACCATAGATAGCTGGGTTAACTTCTGGGTTCTCAATTCCATTCCACTGGTCTATGTGTCTGGCATTTTGCCAGTACCATGATGTTTGGGTTACTACTGTTGTGTAGTAGGTTTTGAGGTCAGGGAGTGCTATACCTCTTGCTTAATTTTTGTTTTTCAGAAGTGCTTTCCTTGTTTGACATCTTTTTACCTCTGGTAGGATTGTCATTTTCACAATATTGATTCATGAGCAGGGAACACTTTTCCATTTATTTAAATGTTTTATAGTTTCTTTTTTTTTATTAGGGTAGACCTTGTTTTAAGTCTTTTATTTAGATTACGACATTTAATCTTCAAAAAACCCTGATGAGCTGTGTGAGCCATTACCAACTCGTATTCAAGATGAAGACCCAGACACAGACATAAAATATGTGCTTGGGGTCACAACTTCAGAAGTAGAGGTGCTCTTCATCATTAATACCCACCTGAAGCCTCCAGTGACTCCTGTATGCCAGACAGTGTGGTGGTTGAACGCAGGGGCCTCAGAGTGCATCCCAGTTCTGTCCATGGTTGTGTGATCTTAGGTGTGAACAGGCAGTAAATTACCACTTCTTGCTTTATTACTTCCTCTCTTGTTTCACCCCATAGCTCCAGAACATCAATTATTTTTTCTGAGCAGTTGATTATTTCCCAGTGCTGAAGCCTGTCCATGCAGGGGCACAAGCAGTGGGGTGCTCCTTGACATCTGCCAGCCAAGTAGAGAGTCCATTCCATAGCGATCTAGCTAAGTGGGAAGCTCGTGCTGGTGGGTAGATGTAGTCAGTCAATTCTGAAACCATAGCACCCCGCACAAAGTAATACAAATATCTCCTGGGGTTCCCAGTGCTGTAATTCTTTGTTCCATTTTAATGTAAGTTTAGAGAGACTTAGGGTTTCCATTCATTCATTGTTGCACTTTTCTCCCTGCCCACCTGCTCCCCCCTACCAATTCACTCTTCTCCTTGAAAAGTAAAAAAAAACAAAACCAAACTCTCATTGTTATGCAATCCTTCCCCCTAATTCCACTCCACTATGCAGCCTTTAATCTGGACTCCTGTCATGACAATAATACCCAATCATATATCCCTTTTAAACAGTCCTCTCCCTCATCTATTTCAATGCAGTATACATCATTCCTCCCCTCCTTCTCTGTCCTCCATCAACCTCAATGTCAATTCCGTTTTACAATAGTGGCCCTATGCAATATTTGTTCTTTTGTGAATGAGATATTCTGCTCAAAATAATGTCCTCCAGGGTCACCCATTTTGTATAATATGTCATGAGTTCCTTGTTTTTCAATGCAGCATAATATTCCATTGTGTGAACATACCAGAGTTTTCTATCCATTCATTTGTTGATGGGAACTTGGGTTGTTTCCAGCTCTTTGCTCTTGTGAACAAAGCCACAATAAACATGGGTGTGCAGATATCTGCATGGGTGGCAGTTATGATTTTGTTAGGGTAAATTCCCAGTAGTGAAATTGTGGTTGCACCATTTTACACTCCCACCAACAGTGAATAAAGGTTCCAGTTTCTCCACAGCCTCACCAATATTTTATGTTTGCTGTTCTGTTAAATTTTGCTATTCTTAGTGGGGTGAGATGTTATCTCATAGTTGTTTTGATTTGCATCTCTCTTAGAGCTAGGGATTTAGAACATTTTTTCATGTGACTGTTGGCCATCTGAATGTCTTCTTTGGTGAAGTGTCAGTTCGTATCCTGTGCCCATTTTTCAATTGGGTTGTTTCCCTTTATCTTGTTGTGGTGCTCAAGTATTTTGTAAATTCTAGATATAGGTCCCTTGTCTGACAAGTCATTACCAAATATTTTTCCCAATCTGTGGCTTCCCTTTTTTACCCCGTTGGAGAAGTTTTTGTATGTTCATAGAGATTTGGTTCTTAGAATGTCCATTCATCTATTTTATCCTCTCCTGGTTGTAGATTTTACAGGATCCTTGGAATATTATTTATGTTGTGGATTAGGACTCCTAGAGTTCTTCCACGCTTTTCTTCAATGAAGTTTATAGTCCTGGGTTTTAGTCTTATTTCCATAATCCACTTTGAATTGGTTTTTGTATATGGAGTGAAGTGTGGATCTTGCTTGAGTTTTCTGCAGAGAGTTTTCCAATTTTGTCAGCATCCTTTGTTAAAATGGCTGTCATTTCCCCACTTAACTAATTTCATCTCCTTGTCAACAATCTGTTGACCATAAGTAGATGGGCTGATATCTGGATTCTCAATTCTATTCCACTGATCTATTTTATTGTTTCTTAAAGAAGTATTTTATAGTTTTCTTTGTAAAGATATTTTGTGTCTCTAGTTAAGTTTGTTCTTAAGTATCTCATTGGAAGCTAGGATTTTGAAGCTCCATCTCACATATTTTGGGCACATCCCCAGGACAGACCAGTTTTTGGAGAAGGATATCATGCTTGGAAGGGTGGAGGGGCAGCACAGGAGAGGAAGACCCCAGATGTAATGGATTGATACAGTGACTGGGGAAATGAGATTGGTGTGTTGGAACTAATGAGACTGGCTCGGGACAGGACAGGGTTCAGAGATGCTACGTATAGGGTTGCTATGGGTTGCTACTTGATAACACGTAACAATATAAATGTTGCTTTCTTGGTTTCCTTCCCTGTGTTTTCTTTGTTACTGCAGAGGAATCCCACCGGCTTTTGTATGTTGATCTTGTATATTGCCACTCTACTAAATCGGTCCACTAGCTTTCAGGTTTTTTTTTCTTGGATCCTTGGGGTTTTCTGTGTACACTATAGTACTATTTGCATATAGTGACAGTTTAACCATGTCTTTGCTAATCTAGATGTCTTTCATTTTCCTCTCTTATCATATTGTCCTACCAAGTACTTCCAGTACAATATTTAATAAGAATGGTGAAAGTGGGCATCTTATCTGGTCCTTGTTCACAAGAAAAATGCTTTTAGTCTTTCTCCATTGAGAAAAATACTGACTCTTGGTTTTGCATATATACTTTTCCCAAAATTGAGGAACTTCTCTTCTATTCCTATTTTGCTGAATATTTTAATCAGGCAGGCGTATTGAATTTTGTCAAATACCTTTCTGCACCAATTGCTAAGATCTTGTGGTTCTTGTTAGTTGCTTTGTTAATGTGATGAATTATGTTGATTGATTTTCTTATGCTGAACTATACTTGCATACCTGCCATGAATCCCAATTAGACATAATTAATTATTTTTGTGATATGATGTTGGATTCTATTGGGCAAGATTTTGTTAAGGATTTTTGCATCTATATTTTTGAGAGATATTTATCTCTAATTTTCTTTTTTGGAAATATCTTTGCCTGGTTTTGCTTGCTTCATAGAATGACTCTGAGAATGATCTTTCTTTTTCTATTTTTAAAAATATCTAAAGAGTAAAATACACTTTTTGTCCTTCAGAAATTCAGAAAAATTTAAAAGAGCTCACAAATGTAAAAATCTTCCTTAAAATGAAATTTGAACGTGAATTCATTTTATATGGTTCTTTCTCTTAAGTAACAGTCTCTGATCACAGTGTTAAGGAAAATCCTCATTGCTTAAAAACATGAACTATCAACAAAACTGTTCAACAAATATTACAGTTTAGACGCTAATTTGTTAAAGAGGAAACCTTCCTAAATTAGAAAGAAACAAGAAGATAATTTCTTTTCTTATTGCTGAGATTCCTAAGATTCTGTTCTTGCTAGCAAATCTTTAGTACTAATAGAAATTTCTTATACTTCAAATGACTTACAACCAGAAAAGCTCTTGTATCACCTCCATTGCTTTTTCTCTGAGTGAATATCTTAGTCTTGCTACAATTTTGCCTCACTGCTATGCGATAAAATTCCAGTGCATGCTAGTGGTAAGGAACCCAACTGCCAATAAGTGGTTTACATCCACCAGCCGCTTTATGGAGAAAAATGAGCACTCTCCTCCAGTGTGAATTACTGCCTCTGAAAACTTGCCAAAAGGTCAACTATAGGTCCATTCTGACTCAATGGTATATAACACCACCACCATGATGAGATGCAAATGTACATATATCCTTCTGAAACCACTTATCTTTCGTACACTGTGCTTTCTAACAAATGGTAACTTTGGTGACATCACCTTAGGGAGTCATGCTGCTTTCTTAAAGGTAGCTAATGTGAATACACCAGCAACTCCTCAGAAGAAAGTTGGGCAACCTCTTTCCAAGTGATTTCAGCCACTGAAAACCCACTGAAGGGTCAGCTGAGTTGCTCCAAGTAGGTTCCATTATGATGGTAACGACTTTGCATTTTCTAACATAGTAAGCTGTTTACCAAAATGCATCCTCACCCACAATGTCGTAACTAAAAGTAAGCTACCTTTCTGCTTTTTCCAGGAGCTAAAGAAAAAAGATGAAAAGTCTGCCATTACTGTTGTGCATCTGTGCACTGAGCACTTGCTTTTTAGTAAGTATCCACCCTTTTATTCTTCTATGCCAACGACAGACCAAAGTATGTATCTCTGAGAGTTCAAAAGTTTAACAAGAAATTCTTTTATTTTTTTAAATAAGAGAAAATAGACAAAGATTTACAATCTTGCAAACCCTGTGGGTTCTATTGTACTCTATAGGGTCATTATGAATCAGAATTAACGTAGAGGCAATACATTTTTATAGAGTTTTTTTAACAAGAATTTTAGGTCTAAATAGGAAGAAGCCTAGAAAAGTGTGATGTTAAAATTACATTTACTCTCTAGTCTTATTCCTTGCTACCTGGTGCTTTCTCTGATTTACAGTTTATTTTTTCCATACCAACCAACTCTCAAAATTTGCCATCCCTAAAGTTGCTTTGGAATTCCTTTGCTTCTTACTAATCCTCCTTTCATGGTCCAGGCAACATATTTTTTCCCCTCCCTCCCTTACTTGTCCTTCATCCACACTCACTTCCTTCTTGTTTCTTTTTCTCCTTGAAACTTTGATATATAAAGAGAGTACGCATTAAAAGTTAATTTAGCTCTTTAGGACTCAATTTTATCATCTGCATAATAATGATGATAATTACAGTACCTGTTTCTTGGTCCCATTAAGGAATCAAGTAAATTCATATTTGTAAGCCATTTAGAATATAGTTTTATATAAAATAAACATACGAAGTAAGTTATCTTAAACATACATTAAAAATTAGCAAAAGGTATCCTCCATATCCTTTGAATGAAAAAGGTCCATTTCTCCCCGTGAGAAGTAATTTTCTAATAAATTTATCTTTACTTTTTCCTTTAAAAAATATGCAAAACCTGTGAGCATGTAAGCAAGCATTGTAGCATCTCTAATATGCTCTTTCTAATTCATTCTATGCCCTTCTAAAGAAGACTAGTGTAAAAGTATCGATCTATGTGAGCCAGAACTTGTCATTTTATTTCCTCATAAATTGAATAGTCTAATTTTTAAATAAGTAATTGGCCAGTGGTAAGAACCTGCACTGCAATCCATAGGCATGCAGTTTGAATCTACCAATGACTTCACAGAAGAATGGGCAATCTCCTCCGGTACAATTTATTGCCTCTGAAAATTCATTGGAGGGTCAGCTATGAGTTGGTTCTGATTCAGTGGCACACAACAACAGCAAACTATATTTGCAATTGATTGCATTAGACTCTAAGGACATTATTTTATCTATACAGTTCTACTAATATGCCTTTACCTACTCTTTACTCTGTCTCTGAAAAGGACTTTATAATGTGTGACTGGAATGATTTATCCATTCGTTGGTTTATAAAGAATTCGTGTGAAACTTAGCAGACAGTAAAAATTCACTTCTCCTTACTTAAGACTTTGGGAAATGCTTCTTTTTTTCATGTTTATGTCCATTTATTTTCTTCTTTTATATATTACTATAATGTTGTTATGTTATATGCCGTCGAGTCGCCTGCGACTCATAGCGACCCTATGTACAAAAGCCCTAAACTCCACTCTGTCCCCTGCCAATCGCACTGTCTCTGACGCTCCCATCCCAATTATGCCAGTCACTGAATCAATCCACCTCATAGAGGGCCTTTCTTTCCTGTGCTGTCCCTCCACCCTCCCAATCATGATGTCCCTCTCCAAGGACCGGTCTCTC